AGAAGGAGACTATGTCCCATGACCTTCTAACCTTAACCTATGAAGGTGAACAATTTGGTACCCACAGAAATCCAGGGAAAAAATTCTCAGGAAGGAAGGGTCAACTGTTGTAGAGAAACAAATCTGTACATAGAAGACTATGTATGCTTTCTTCCCCAAGGTGTGACCAGGGGGTGAGTGGAAAAAAAAGGAGAAAACTATGACCTTCCCTACCCCTAAAAAACCAAAATATGGTAATTCCCCAAATAAACCAATTTTATTACAACACATACTTCTGTTTCCAAAGAGACTAGGTTTATAAAGAACACTAAAACTGATTTATATGGTTATTTTTTATCATATGGCCTTTACATGTTTTTAATTGCCATTTTCCTCTCTTCCCTTGAAGTAGAGTAGGTGAAGAAAAGGGAATAGAGGAAGAAATTATTGCCCTTTCTTTTCAGAATGCAATCTTCTTTTTTTTAACGTTTATTACTACTTTTGAGAGACAGAGAAAGAGAGGAGAGAGTATGAGCAGAGGAGGGGCAGAGAGACAGGGAGACAGAGAATCTGAAGCAGGCTCTATCTAGGCTGAGCTGTCAGCACAGAGCCTGACACAAGGTTCAGACTCACAAACTGTTGAGATCATGACCTGAGCCAAAGTCAGGCGCTTAACTGACTGAGCCATCCAGGCGCACAATCTTCTTAAGGCCAGGGACTTTGTCTATTTTATTTACTTTGTATTGCAACTGCCTACAACAATGCCTGGCATGTAGCTGGAGCTCAAATACTTGCTGAAGGTATAACTGGGTCTTGTAAAATTGCTACCCAAAACCTGGAAATGTCAAAGAATTGTTTGGAAAACCTAACATGCTTTAAAAATTTGTTTAAGATATTTTATTCATATCTACTTGCACTGAGAAAGTTGGAAATTTAGTCACCACAATAATGCCAGCTACAGTTGGCAAAATGATGTCATTAGCTCTAATGATATGGTTTTCTAAATCAACTGATTTACCTCACTTCATTTATTAAACAATACACTAATGAATATTATGTACCTGGTACTGCTTTAGGCCAGAGAATCCATTAGTGAACCATGTGCAGGAAAAAAGAGGATAACCCAGCTTTCTAAAGTTGTTTTTTTTTTTTTAGGTCTTTGTTGTATTTTGAGAGAGACAGAGAGTGAGAGAGAGAGGGAGACAGAATCTGAAGCAGGCTCCAGGCTCTGACATGTCAGCAAAGAGCCCGATGCGGGGCTTGAACCCACGGACTGTGAGATCATTACCTGAGCCAAAGTCAGATGCTTAACCGACTGGGCCACCCAGGCGCCCTGATAACCCAGCTTTCTAAAATGAGGGCTAGAGAGGTAGCAGAGTGTAATAAAGAGATAGCTTCTAGACCCAGATGTTCTGGTTTTAAATCCTGACTTTACTACTCATTAGCTGTATGTTTCTGGCAAGTTACTTAACCTCTCCGCATTCCATTTCTGCACAGTAACATGGAGATAACGATAGCACCTACTTAACAAATAAGGTAGTCATAAGGATCGAAGAGAATTAACATAAATGCATTAAGAACAGTATGTAGCAAATATTATAATTATAGGTCTCTGTTACCATAAAATTTTCCTCTAAGGACTCTTACACCCTGTGGTGTTCTACTTACATGTCTGTGACTCTCTGCTAGACTGTGAACCACCACCCCTTTGCTGGGAGAGCGGTCTGCCTTTGATTCAAATTTGCACGACCAGATAGTGTTCAACAAATATTTGTTGAATAAATGAAAGTGCAGGGTTAGGAAACGTATAAATACATGCTACTTCAATGTAAAGCAAACCAGGATAAGAAATGAAGGGGAATGTGGGCATCACTATCTGTAAAGTTTACAGATAGATTGTTAGGACACAGTAATGTAGTCAATCTTAGGCATTAATTTTAGCTACTAAAAAAAAATGTGTTCCCAGGACCACAGTCCTTAGTGCAGGGATTGTGGCCAACTAATGAACAACTACTAATTCCATTTCAGCAGTTTTCTTCTATGACCATGAGCAAACTCTTTTCACAGATAGGTAATTCTGTCTTGTTAAGAGGATATGAAGCTTAGTCAAGTGTCTGAATGTTTGATTATGAAATGGGAAAGGATGTGTGTATTTGGTTCTTTATGCTCTTTGCAACATTGCAGTTGAAAAGCAGGAGGGTGGGAGATTCCTGCTGACTTTCCACAGCATTACAGTGTGAAGACAGGTTACTATTCTTTGCTTAGACATCTGGGCAGTCAGCCAAGATCCAAAGAAGGAATGTCTTTGCTCTTGGCAGGGCTCTAATGACCTTCCTGCAGATTTAGACTATTGCGCATGTCTCAGTTGTCGAGCTTGAATAGAAGTGTTCCTTCTGTTATTCTACAGAAAAACCCATGTATTCCTTTTTTATTTTCTAATTTACATCTACTTCTGTAATATAAAAGACAAACAGTATCATTCAGATTTCTTCATACAGTTAATTCTCGCTGTTGCTCCCTATTCCTGCTTTAAAAAAAATTGCTTTGAACAGCTTACAAAAGATGATCCTTTTTAAACTCAAGGATTATTCACATACTCTCCTGAGGAGGAAAGAAGATTCTGAATCATGTGAGACTGCTGTCAGTTTCAGCAAACTGACAGTAGTATTCTTTCTTATGGACATCTCTGTGTTCTCTGGTGCCCGAGTGACCTTCTGGGGGTGAGGCCTGGTTTTATATACTGCGTAGCAAAACAATCTAAGAATGGGGGCCCAGGAATCTCTCTGTGACCTTGGGAAAATCATTTAACCCCACCAGGCTACTTTAATTTTATTTATTTGTTTAAGTTTATTTATTTTGAGAGGGGGTGCGGTGGGGTGGTGGTGGTGGAGTGAGAATCCTAAACAGGCTCTGAACTGTCAGTGTGAAGTCACCAGGCTACCTTTTAAAATTAGACAAAATAATCTCCAAATTCCCTTCTATTCCTAGAATTCCAATATTCTGAATTGCAGGGACGAAAGCTATCAGATAATATAAATGCTGATAAAATACTTTAGTTTGTATTTGGAGTATGAACTTGTATCTTCCTCCAGCTGAAAATAAATTTTAAAACGACCTGGTAATTGTACGGTACCATATGGTAAGATGAAAAGAGCTGTAAGACCCTGGGGAGCAAACTCTTGTTTGACCTTGAGCAAATAATTATTTGGGTTCAATAAATTCAATTTTAAGATCTGAAGTGGGGCAGATTTATCAAGATCATCTTTAAGAGGTCCCATCCAGTTCAAAAATTATAAAGTCTCAAGTTCTCTGAGCAGTACCCCTGCATTCTTGCTAAGATTATTAGGTCAGAGACCAAACCGTCATTTAAATGACTAATTATAAGTAAGAAACTGGGATATAAGAATTAGTAGCTACTAAGAATTAGTAGCTGTCACCACTGGTCCGTTATAAAGGTAGAGGAGGTAGTAGTCCCCTTACCTTGAAAATATGTCTTATTGGGTTCAGGAAAATTTCCAATTCATTCAAAAATAACGGAGATAATGGAGGAAGAATAACTTCAACTATAAATACAAGTACTGAAGAAATTTCTGTCTGGTATCAAATGTCACCTTCAAACAGCATGCAGCTTATCTTACGTCAGAGATGGCTCACCACCACCCTCCCTCTCCTTGCAGCGGAGACAAGATATGGTGATCTAGGTATCCAGACCTTCACAAGATGGTTACATTGTATAACATTAAAAGTAGTGGCTCTAGAATTCATAACATACAGATCAGTGCTAGTGATGCCGCCACTGCACCATTTCCTGGCTTTACCAAAGATCATCAATGAACAGGTTTTAAATAACATTTTGTGAAATTAGATATGGCGGAAACAGAGCTCTCGAAAACGTCGATTGTAATCTGGAGTACCTGGTGAGCACTATCTTTAACCTCCTGCTTTCAAGGGCTTTGTGAGAAAAGCCCTTAAAAACCCTGTGGGTTCAAGGAAGAAAAAGAGGTTAGGATCTAAGCCCCCACCCCCATATCAAATCTTACCATCCTTATCAAACCCTATGTCGTGCTTTGCAGAAAACCCAAAGCTTCGTATTTTGCATCCCCGCCATAGAGCAGGACTGAGATCGCGCCTCTCCAAGAATAATTTCTCTCGAGTCCTTGTAAGAGCCCTCTAGATGGAAATCAACCCCTTCCCAATTACTGGGTCACTGCAACAGCCCCCAAAAGAGGATTCGGGGCTTTACCAAAGGGCTCCAAGGACAGTGCTTTGCACAACCGTTCCGTCCCCTCCCCCCCCAGCAAGTCCTTCAAGTGTAAGAAACCTCACACAGGAGCGCGAAGGTCGGGGGTAGGCAGGATCCAGGAGTCCACACTCACCATGATTAGAAAGTGCGCGAACAATTTCAGCACCTGCAAAACGAACCTCCAGGAATCGGGTCACCTCTACCGCGGAACTGACTTAGGGATGGCGAACGATGTGAGAAAGAAAAGGCTCGGCTTCCAACCGCAGCGCCCTCTGGGAACTGTAGTTTACGAGGCCCAGATTCTGGAGCACTCTTCAACTCATTTCCTTCAAGTGTTGAACTACACTTCCCGAGGTCAAAGGGTCTGCTCACGCCCTTCTCCCTGCGCTCTTTGCTGATTGTAAAGTAGTCCCTGAGGGCCGGCCGCTGTGATTGGAGGACGGCGATGAGCAGAAGATTAGGCTTAAGGGAGAGGACCTGCCTGATGGCGCCCAGCAATTGGTGGGAGGGGAGGCATGTGGAACTCGAGGGAGGAGATAACAGATCTCTTAGCTACTTCTCCCGCACGTACGCATCCGAGACTTTTCTTATTCCCCAAGGGTAAATGTGGGAGGTAAAGAGACCTTCCGCTGCGTAAAATCGGCTTGACCCGGAAACAAAATCTTTTAAAATACTATTCACACCCTGGAGGGGCGGGAGTAATTGACGTGTCGCGAAGACTGGAAGGCTTCGCAGGTTGCTAAGCGACGAGGCGGGAGAGCGCGCGCACGCACGGGCCGCTGGGGAGTACTTGAGGGATTAGTGGCTGTCGCAGCTCCGAAACGCAGGCGACAGAGCTAGCGTGCCGTTGGTCTGCACTGTCCTCCGTCCCTAGTTGCCGGGGGACGCTCTGCTCTGGTAGTGTCCGGTGACGAGGTGAGCAGTTTGTGGGGACGCCCCTCTGAGGTGGCCAGGGGCCGCGCCTGCCCTACTCCAGGGCCCGAGGGCTAGGGGTTTTCTGTTAACCTGAGGGTCCGGAATGCCAGGTGTGCGCGGTTCTCCGTTGCCTTTTTTTTTTTTTTTAAAACCCGAGTGCTGACCTACTGGGTAGCGCCCGCGCACTTGCCGGTCTCTCAGCGCTGAGTTTTAGGGCAGCGGCGTTCTAGAGGGCGTAGTGCCCCGAAGTTCGCGCTCTCCTCTCCTCTGGAGGATGCAGCTCTTTTAAAGTTAAAAATAGCACTTGCCTGTGGGAAGTAAGCCCTTCCCTTCCTGGAGTTCACAGTTCACGGAATCTAACTTTTTCTCTAAATCCTCCGCGAATGTTGACACTTTTGCCTATTCTTTTTTGAAAACTGCTGTATAAACCATCTTGACCTTTCCTAAGGAACATGTGGCACTCGAATGGGAGACGGTAGTTGTTTCAGGCAGTGTCTCAGCTGGTGTACAACAACTCAGGATGTTTTCCTTTAAAATTAATGCTGCTCAAGAGAATTGTGCTCCCTGAAACCTTTGATGTGGATAGGGAAAGGAAGATGGGGTGCTCTGGAATGGCATATCTGCAAAGAAAATGAAAATCTATAGTGGATAACATTACTCTAACTTTTAATTTTTCGCGATCATTGGTAAATTGAATGCCTAGTGGTATCTTTCACTTTTACTCTCTTCATTTTAGAGAGTTTGCTATTGTCGGAAAGAACTGAAACACTTTACTTTCCAGTTTTATCAATATTACTTATCATAACTGAATAATTCTCTCTTCTATGAATCGCTTTATTCACTTGTTATTCATATAACATACTTTCCTGGTTTTCCTCTTAGGTCACTGGTTGTTCCTTCTCAGTGTTCCTTGCGTGTTCTTTTTTGCCTTTGACTTCTTAACATTGCAGAGCCTTTGCTCTTCTATCTACAGTTAATCCCTAAATGATCTACATCCCGAGTTGCATGGTTACAGATGTCAAATCCATGGTTACTTCTGTCAAGACGCTCCCAAATTTGTGTTTTGTCCAGAATTCCAGATTCCTTGTTGAAGTATTTCTTCGTTATTTCCACTTGATTTCCTAATATGCATCATTTTCACCATTTTACAGTGTTTTCTAACTGAGCAATTGTATATGGAGGTAGAACACCAAACCCTTTGATATAGACAAAAGGACCTTGGATTTCTCTAGTTCTAAGATGATGGATGTGGATGGGATTATGAGATTTCAAATGATAGACTAGTAACGAGCTGGAATTGGTTAAATAAAAACTGGTGAGGGGCCCCTGGGTGGCTCAGTTGGTTAAGTGTCCAACTTCGGCTCAGGTTATGATCTCATGGTTCATGGGTTCAAGCCCCACATCACAGAGTTCGAGCTCTGTGTTGATGGTGTAGGGCTTGTTTGGGATTCTCTCTCTCCCTCTCTTTCTGCCTCTTCCTCCCTTGTGCTCACTCAAAATAAACTAACAAACTAAAAAATAAAAAATAAACTGGTGTAAAAAATTGGCCAGGAAAATGTAGGGCAAGGGTCTTAGGATATGGCACCCTGTTAAGCTCTGGGAATTCAGAGCGTAAAAAAATACAGTTGCTGTCTTTTTAGAGCCCTCGTAGTAGCAGGGAATACCACTATGTAAATGACAACCTGGTGTGGCCTGGTTAGTGATAGTTAAAGAGTTAGCAACTCCAGGGTGCCAGGGCTTCACAAAGGAGGTGCTGCTTGAATGAAGGCAAATGGATATTTTTGCCCAGCAGCAAGGTAAGAGGTAGAACCACATTTGTGGTTTTGTAGGTAGGGTTTTGGGTTGGTGGTAAGACAGCTGCTTTAAGTTCCTGATTTTTTTTTTTTTTTTTTTGACCAAGACTCTAAAACTGTGTAACCCAAGACTCTAGCTGTGAATCATGTAGCTATTAAATTTAAATTAATTAAAATTAAACATAAAATTAGAAATCCAGTTCCTTAGTCACACTAGTTACATTTCAAGTGTCCAAAAGCCACATGGGATAGAATATTGAACATTTTCATTATCACAGAAAGTTCTTTTGCACAGCTGCTGGAAGTTAGTGGAAGCAAGGCATCACCCAGAGCAGGAACAGCTTGCAACATATCTTTGTGGGGGCATTTCTTTTGCTCCTGAATGTACAATGGAGTGTATAGCTGTCTGTGATACTGACTACACAGGAAGAGGAGTGTCAGAGGCAAGAAACCCAATTCTAGTCTTAACCATTGCCTTTGTATCTTGGAAGAACTTACTTTAACAGTCTTGGTGTGCGTCTGTTTGAAAGAATGTTTCCAAACATTGCATTGTCCTGGATCTTCAACCAGACTTCCCATCAGGAAGCCCAGAAGGGGTTGAGAAAGCAGAGTCCTTGCCTAGGTGACACCAAACAACATTTGCCTGCTGCTCTCTACTATTTTAGAATGAATGCCTGTGTTCCTGCCACATTCTAAATAAATGGAAGAGTACATATAACATATAGAAGCGTGAAATAGATTGGCAGGTTCAGACCCCACCAGTATTGGGGGTTAGGAGAAAAAGGAGCCCAGTTGGGGTATCTTTATACTTTAATGTGTACAACAAATGCATGTTCATAGATGCTTTTAATGAATTGTCATATGTTTTGTTTGGGTACATTTGTTTTTTTTTTTTATTTACTTCTAGGAGAGAGAGAGAGAGAGACAGAGTGAGCAGGGGAGGGTCAGAGAGAGGGAGTGGGTATATTTGTTTTCTATGACTTCCCTCTTGTATGAGTTTTTCCTATTACATGTCCAGCTGGCTTTATAATTTTTAATATTTTCAGATTGGATTAAACAGACTTTTTTTTGTAAATCAAATTTCACAATAGTTGTGAAATTTCTGAAGAAGGAGAAGGAAGAGAGACATCACTGGACAGTGGCCTAAGGGTGCTTTAAATGTGGGTAGGTAGGGCACGCGGGTGGCTCAGTCGGTTAAGCCTCAGACTTCAGCTCAGGTCACGATCTTGTGGTTCGTGAGTTCGAGCCCCGTGTCGGGCTCTGTGCTGACAGCTCAGAGCCTGGAGCCTGCTTCGGATTCTGTGTCTTCCTGTCTCTCAGCTCCTCCCCTACTTGTACTCTGTCTCTCTCTCGAAAATAAATAAACATTTAAAAAAATTATGGGTAGGTGGACAAATCTTGGGAATTCATTTTATTATTTGTTCAACTGTACTCACCACCCAGTTTAACAAAGAATATTACCAATCCCTTCCCAGAGATCATGTGTTGATATACATGCACATAAACTCACTCTTGTGTATGTAGGTATATTTTGTAGTTATAACAAGAAATTTTTTTAATAAAAGAATCAACTAATCCTTTTTCTTTTTAAAGCTTATGTATTTATTTTCAGAGAGAGACAGCATGTGTGAATTGGGGAGGGGCAAAAGGAGAGGAAGAGAGAGAGAGTCCCAGGCAGGCTTTACACTGTCAGTGCAGAGCCTGACACAGAACTCGAACTCTTGAACCACAATCTCATGACTTGAGCTGAAGTTGGATACCTACTGACTGAGCTACCCAGGTGCCCCAAATAATGGTTTTTCTTATCCTCTACTATGTAGAGATTATGAAATCATGCCGTATGTTACTGCTAATGGCTTTACATGTAAAAAAAAAAAAAAAAAAGCACAGACATATCTACATTTTGTCATAAATGTGTCCAAAGACATATAATTATGCCTATGTTTGAGGAAATTAAGACTTACAAAAAGACTGCATTGGATCAATTTATGACTCATAAGAGGTGGGTTAGAGATGTCCAAGCTAGACCTTGGACAGTATGTAGAAGTATGGACAGAGCAGAGACAGGAGATTAGGCCAAAAAGAAAGCAATTGAATGTGAAGTGAAGGTTAAATGGGAGGAAAACAAAATCTCATCAGGCATATTCATTTGCATTTTATGTGTTTTTTAGAAGTTTTTTTTTTTAAATGTTTGTTTATTTTTGAGAGAGAGAGAGAGCCAGAGTGTGAGCAGGAGTGGGGCAGAAAGAGTGAGACACAGGATCTGAAGCAGATGCCAGGCTCTGAGCTGTCAGTACAAAGCCTGACGTGGGGCTGGAACTCACACCGTGAGATGGTGAGCCAAAGTTGGATGCTTAATTGACTGAGCCACCCAGGTGCCCCTTATGTCTTGTACTTCAGCCAATGTTGCTGTTGCTAAAACATGTCCTTTCATTTTTTGCCTTCATATTTTATACATGCTTTTTCCTTAACTGGAATTTTTTATCCTTCTTTTCTGCCTATTAAAAATCTGTTCCGCCAAGCTCTTTCTAAATACTTTAACCATTATGAAGCCTTTCTTTCCCATGCCTCTGTTTTAAAGTACTACAGAAATTTAAAACATAAACAAAATGAAGATATAGATATAATTTTCTCAGCCCATCATCCAGTTTTACCAGTTATTACAGTTTGCCAGTCTTTTAATATATGCCTTCTTGCTACTTCCCTCCCCCAATGTTTACAAACATACAGAAAAGCTATACAGTGAATAATCCTTTATAGTAGTCTGCATTCAGTCAGGAAACAGAACTCTGCTGGTTATTTGGAAATTTAATATGATGAAATGTTAACTAGAACAAAGAGGGGTGGTTATACTAAAAGGCATAAAAGAACTCAGAGTCTAAGTGTTCCAGAAGTAACTGGTGCTGAAGAGCAGCTAATATTTCTGGGATGAGAAAGAAGGACTGGGAGAGTGCCCTTTTCCCCAAAGCTTGTGTGCAGACCTGTCACAAAGGGCATATGCGCCATTGACAGTATGCACTGTCAGTGAGGAGATTGGAACCTGTGGCCACCGTTGGAACTTGTCTCCTCAACAAGGCTCTTGGGCTTTCATGCTGAATAATGATGATGGTGATGATGAAGATGGTCATGATCATGGTCATGATGATGGAAGCCTGAATTCAGAAAGGAAGTGTCTTTCTTTTTCTTTCTTTCTTTTTTTTTTTAATA